GACAAAGTGCGTTCTCTTCGTAATTGCATGTAGGTCAAAGTCTACAACGTCTCATGCGGCGCTAATTTGTTTATTTATTAATAATCAATTATTATTAACAAATTAGCGTATTTCGGATATTACGTGGGTTGGAAAAGGCCAATTTTGATGCGGTAGAGCCCATTCTTCTTCTGATTAGTTGTACCTTAACTTTGGGAGACTCCCACCGATCTTCATTTGTTTATTGATTTTTATTCGATCATTAAGAGCAAATTAGGCAATCGGACTGGGAGAGGGGGATTTTCACGCGGTAATCGACGCTCTTCTCGTACTTGGATTACAAGGTGATCCAGAACCACTAAGGGCCACTAAGGGCAGACTGATTTTCATTTGTTCATTGATCTTTAATGAATTAGTATATACAAATTCAGGCTGTTATCTGTGAGCTGGACGAGAAAAGTCTGATTTTTATGGAATAAGTCACTTTGATCATCATCCGGGATATTCCAAAACCGTTAGGTCCGAATGATCTTCATTTGTTTCCTTTTACTAATTAATCATTATAAAATAATTACACGTGCAATCTGTAACTAAGACTTAGAATGGATAATTTTTAATCAAAGAGAAGTGGATAACATTTATTCGTAATGATTCATGTTCTATATGGTCTTTTGAGAATTCACTTCCTGCATTAGGGTCTTGAATTTTCTACATAAAACCGATAAACAAATGAAGATCGGTGGGGGTCCTTTACAGTTAAAGTACAACTAATAAGAAGAAGAATGAGCTTTACCGCATCAAGATTGGCCGTTTCCACCCCACGTAATATCCGAAATACGATTATTTGTTAATAATAATAGGTTCGGCCCTATTTTCGTCTAATTTTCCTGGCTGGAATACTAGTAAATATTTAGTAATTAATAATCATCTGAAATAAAAAACATAAATGGTATATCTAAATATTATTAATATAAAAACGCATATCTGACATAATGAAATTGATAAATAAAGTCTGTCAGAGAGAGTCGCAATTCAATGGCGTGCAAAGCGAGTCTACCGAGACATGCATAGGGTTGCTAGATCTCCGGGTTTTAATGGTACATCCTTGGACTCCGGTTTAATAGGTATGTCATTTCTCCGGGTTTTCGTTGTTGCGGAAAACATTTGCCACATTTCCTGATTCCTTCCTTTTTTTAGACATCAATTGGCAGGAATAAGTAGATATTTCCCGACTGCGTCTCTTACTTTTTTTTTTTTATTCTAACGTCACCCTTGATAAAGACCAACAAGTAAAAATAGATAGAAAGATCTTACCATTTCCATTTTTTAGGTAGGTACTTACAATAGTACAGAATTTTAAATATACAAAAAAACATAAAACCAAAAAAAAACATTTTGAAGCAACATTGTCAAAAGTATTGACATTATGACAAGATCAATGTGAAATGTTTTTTTCCTAACTAATAGTCCAGTTACTCAGGGTTTTTACCTCCGAATTCTTTATAACTGAACTGATTAACGTGAAATTTTGACTGAACGTGGGGAATGCTTCAAGGAACAAAATTTATATAGTGCCGAAATGTGCTTTTGCCCTGGGGGTAGTTTCCACCCCTGCTTGGGGGTGGAAATTTTTACGCCCAAAAGAACCACAGAAATCGATAGAGGAGTCAATTTTAAGTAACAAATGTTATATAAAGTGTATTGGATAATCCAATACTTTCCGAGTAATTCGTCATTGAAAATGTTGATTTTTTACTAAAAAAGTGCTTGTTTTCGGACAGTTTTTTGCAAATAACTCTGAAACCATTGGGTTTAACGAAAAAGTTGTAATGAACAAAAAGAAAGGTAATAAAAAACAAATCTAATGGCATTATGTTGTTTTTCTCTAATTGCAATATAAACCGAGTTATAGATTTTTAAACATTATTATATGTTAATTAAAAACTAAATTGGAACCAGTTAATGTTAAATAACGCCAAAACCATAAATATTAGGAAAAAACTATTTGAGACTTTTTTAAAGTACTTTGAAAAACCTTTAAATTGAACTGTTTTAAAAGTCTTTAGCATCAAACTTAACGGAAATGTGATCGAAATAACATGATAGTCCCATTTTTATTAATAAAAAATTAATAAACAAATCAGTGCCTTTGGCGACAGAATTAAAATTAAATGCAATCCATTTAGAGATTTCTTCATTTATGTTCTAAGAATAAGTTCTGGGTCTTTTGCTAACTTACAAAGCATGATTTCAAAAAAAAAAATTTTTAAATGTTAATTTTTCAAATTTTTGAAAAGAATTCGATTTTTACGCTGTAACTTAAAATTAAAGGGAGTACGAAAAAATGTAGGTTTATTTTTACTGAAGATTTTGCTTTATATTTTTATTCCTCTAAAATTAATATTAATCGAGATATCGCCATTTTTATGTTATCATATGAATGATAGAACCACCCTTTTCGAGCCCTTTAAATCCTTCAAACTTAAAAATGAAGGGCTTAAAAAAGATCAACTCAACAGTTCACGTAGCCCTTACAATGCCCTGCAAAATGAGCCTTTGTCCGATTAAAAATCTTAAAAGTAAGAGAGTTAGCGTAAAAAAAATATACACGTGTACAAACAAGAATTTTTAAGCATTTAGATCTTTTTTGTATATATACGTAATTCGACATATGTGGAATATGCTCTGGCGACAACTGCCTAAATTCTCCTCCAATCATGGAAGAGGACGAGCATGATTGTGAAGAGAATATCAGTGACGACGAATAATCATTTACACATAATTATAATGTTTTTTTTTAATTTATTATTATTAAAAAGGAAAATAATCTTAATTTTGTGTGTATAGGTATATATAAATGTAAGGGATAATTTTTAAGGGTTGAAAAGTTGCAATCAAATCAAAATTATTTTATAAGAAGGGAATATTTAATACGAATGTACATTTAAAATGTTTCTACTCTTTCAATAATATTTTTTCATTTTATTTTTGGAAAGAAGGGGTATTTTTCAAGGGTTGAAAAGTTGCAATCGATGAAAACAATTTTTTAATCAAGAAATCAATTTTAATTTGATAAAAATGCATGATTAAAACGTTTCAAGTTGAAAAAAAAATTTATATTATTTTCATCCAAAGGAGTGGTTTTTAAAGGCTTTTCCCGGTTGAAAATTTGGGATACATTAAGTTTCATGTTAAATAGTACATGAAATTACTCATACTGTATAAATATAAAATATTTGATTACATAAAATGCTTAAATTATATTTTTTCTTTTTTTCCAATAAGGGGTGGATTTCACCCCCTTAAGAACAAAAAGCACACCTAGCGCATATATAAGTTTTGAAGTGGGGGGTAAGATGAGCCTAATTCTAAATTTTTAGAAAAATCGATGCAGTTATAAAAAATTCGGAGGTATTACTATATTTTCAGCTACAGTAACTGGGTTATAATATTTGCCTTCTTTACTAAATTTCTTTGTTTGTGGAATGTCGTTAACTACATAGTAACATAGTTTTAAATCTATAAAAACTGTCCTGCTTTCTTATCTAATAATTTTATCTTGTTAATTATTGCATCTCCCAGATGGTTACCTACATGTGTTTATACTGTTGAAATATCCATAATGCCATGATCCATAATGTAATTAGTTTAAAATTATGTATGTTGTAATGAATTTACAGGCATTTTAAAAGAAATTATTGCTCCACCATAACATTGTTTTCGTACTTTTACTTGAAATGTCGAATTAAATTAGAGATTATTATTCAACTTAATCGTTATACATTCCATAAAAACATTAGAATCAATCGAACTGATTAAAATCAAAATGTGGGATATATCAATAAACCAGTGTTGTACAGACAGGAAATTAGACCGTCTTGTACATTTTTGTATATTTTCATAGAACGTTTGGATCTCACGATCAGTGATATAGTTGTATAAGGTTTATCTTTAATAATTAGAAAGATGTGTTAGATAAAGACTCAGTTGCTTAAGAATTTACAATAATATCTTGAAGACTCTTTCGGCTATATCTCCATTACTTGGATAAAGAAACAACAGTTTAATTCTCTAAATATTGCTTTAAATTATAAAAAAACTATGCAGAAAACTTCCCAAATCTCATTTTTAAGAGTAAGGCAGTTCTCTTAAAAAATAAGACAATTCATATTTGAAGGTCTACAATATTTGAAGGACTACAATTAGGTATAAAAGTTCTCTCATGACTAATAAAAGTATTTGAGCTTAATCTGTATTTCTTTAATAGGTACCTACTTAAATTATATTAAATTTATAATTACTATGTACCTATGTATATATGATGCAATCCAAATATTCATTATTATGCAAATTTGTTTAATTTGTACATCTTTGTATTTTTACTCTTGTTGAATACAACAAATATGTACTCTTAATTTTTAGTTTCTATTAAGTAAAACACCATGTTTTGTTACAGAACAAAATGCTTTGGACGCAACGTTAGACAAAGACCTCTCCAAAGCTGGCACAACCGAAAAGTCAATTCCAGTTAAAACCGTTTCATCTACGATTAGTAGTGTGATCAAAGCAACAACTTTAACGCCAGCAAAAGAAAATGTACCTGACAAACCTCCAAGACTTGTTTGTCCTGGCAAGGAGGTTTCTCGACCGTTTTTTTCTTTGCCCTGTGCAGCAACTCAAGACTGTGGATTCCTGGGAAGAGGAATGGTATGTTGTAATAGGAGATGTATAAAGGGTGTACCTCCTCCAAAACCAGAGCCCAAACATTCCCGTAAGTCTAAAACTTCGGTTTTACATAAGGATGTCAGAATTTTTTTTTACTGGTTATTCTATTCATTTAAAATATTTTTTTGCGAAACAGCTGTAGCCTGCTGCAACACTTAACGAGCATTTTATAAAGTTTTTTTATTTTTATGCGTACAATCAATCCTTCATATGTGGAAACGACCATTCTATAATTCAACATACTTACTCTATATGTGAAATCCATAAAAAATATTAAAATTTTACAGGAGACCAAATATCATTACGAACTAATTCTGTATTAGAAAATATAATTTAAATTATCATACGCATAGGACAAAGATTTAGGTATGGGAGGTAGGGGACCCAAAAAGTAACACCCTGTACATTATTTTCTAATATATTCTAGTAATATGTCACATCCCAATAAATATAGTCGTATATCAGTATAGATTTGTAGAAGCTTCCTTAATTGATGCAGGTATAAAAAATATACCTACTACCTTGAGAGGGCCACATCTCAGTGGGACTTTTATATATTGGTCTAAACTCTAAACTATATTGTAGGTTGTTCTAAACTGACTTATTTTGATCAAACGCGCTTTAGTCTTAATATGTTGTCCATATGTTTAGTGCCACTCTACAAGATAATTCTAAAATATGCTGATAAATTTGAAAGAGATTGAAAATAAAGGTACTCCTACATTTGGTACTCGAATTGCTATCAGATCTTGTTGATATTTTAATATATAAGTTAAAATAAAAAGGAATATATTCTATTTTCTCAGAGGCAGATATTTCTATTTTTTAATTTATTAACTTATATTTTCAATGGGACTTAAATACGGTACTAGACTTTTACCTACACTTTTTCTTTATTGTAATTGGTATAATATATCTGCAAAATCTGAAAACAATCTATGGCGCTTTTGATTTTCTTCGTAATCCATTTTTTGCAAAAGAAACGTTTCCAGATTTCTAGAAAACTGTACACGTTATTAAGATCAAATAATTAATCTATATTTTTCCAAAAATAGTACCTAGATGTTCTAAATATGTGCTAAGTTTAATTTGAATCTCGTTTCTCATTGGAATTATTTAAAAAAACATATTTTTGACAGCAATCGTTCACGACCATGTATATTTTATCTATTTTTCGGCCCCATCTCCACAATAATGTTTAAAGTGTCTTTTCTTTCAATTTCACTAGATATTTTGGAATTAATCTCATCTGTATTTATTATTTTTAAAATGATTTAAAAAATATGAGTGTATTATTAATACATCTTAAATAAGATTTAGTAGACACTACAGAAGTGTCAACTTACGTTCTTTACATTGCTATAAAAATACATTTAACAATTCCATCACATGAAGTCAAACAATGCTGTTCGATACCAAAAATCTACATCAAAGAACATTATTTAACTTCATTTCATAGGAACTTTAGAAAATTTTTTGAATTTATTTGAATTATCTTAATACCTTCATAATAATATGGGATAAAAAATATATATTTAAAAAATAATGGTCTAGTTACATTTTTGGTTGATAAATCTATCTCTTAATAGATATACCTCATCTGTTGATATCAAAATTATTTTCTACAGAAAATAAATTATTTTATTGTAATACAAAATTCTCTTCCTATGAAGAAAACAAGTCGAGGTTGAGATCTCTAACAAAAAGTTAATTTGTTCATGTAAGGAAATGATTTACAATTATACTTCTTTAATAGTCATTATATTTAAAACATAAAGTTTAAGTTAAAAATATCCTAGTGTTTAAAATTACGATTCTGTATTCCTTTTCAATATACAACTAAACTTATTACACCTCTGTTTCTAATAAAGACCAAAAAGTAAAGTTAACTTACAAATAATTGTGGTTTCTATATATGTGTATTTGCATGCATAAATATTTTGAAGTATGTTTGTGAGTTTTATGGGTATGACAATATTAGAAAAAATAAAGATGTTCTCAGATATATTTTCTAATTCTTTGTAGCAGTGTAGTATTTTTATAAATCTTTTCTAGTTTCTTCTAGGGCACATACTATTTTCCTATATCTCCAGAAATTGTTAAAATCAAACAGAAAATTGTATTTATTTTGTAATGTAAAATATTACATATATACACATAATTTGTTGACTGTTATTACCTTGTTCAAAAACAAATATACAAAATATTGTTATACACAACTTTTAACGTTCCATATTTTACTAAAGGCGTACCTATTTCTGTGATATTTGCAAAACAAATTTCTTTGAAACTTTTTGGGGAATTTTGTCTTCAAAATTTTTAAATTAAAATAAATAAATAATTTCAGACATACAATTAAATTATATAGTTTAATATTTTAATTAGAAGTTTACCCTGTGTAAAAAAATATTTTAAAATGTGACATAGAGCTACTTTTGTAGTCCGTCTTAAATGGAACATCCTGTATATGTACCAATTTAAGATGATCTTAAAATGTTGCTAATTTATTACCTAATCGAATATTTATACAAAATTGGCAATTTGAGATCAATATGCTACGATCTGAATAAGGAAGAATATATGTTAATCCCTTGTTACGTAAATATATCGAGATGTTATGAACTTTAAAAGAAATTTATTCATGACACTCAGATTCGCAACAAGAAGATGTAGAGAAAGTAGTCTTTGGTATTTGGAAACATATCGTTCAACTTTCATATGGGTAAATATAAAGAATATAAACAAATTTACGTAACATGGCATATGTTTAATTCCTACTGAATTCATGTTCTGACGGTGATTATTTATTACACAGGATATAACAGTGACATTGCAACAAAGTTTAAACAATGATTTCTTTCCTCAAAATACAATAAAAAAGCAATTCCTAATGTCTGTACTTTCAAGGATGAAATGTGAAGCATATTTTTAATCAACTGTGGCTGAAAAACGCACTATAAAGTTGGTGTGGTGTTTTTTAATTCAAACACTTTTTATTAACTCTGCACATAGAGGCAAAAAATTGTCCTAAATTCTCACCAATGGAAATTAGATAGGTAATTTGCAATATCTATAATAGGGTTGTTGACTATAAAAACAAACCATATACAAATTGTTGTTGATAGAAATATTTTATATAAAAGAACCTGCCTGTATAGTAAAATTTTAAATATATGATAAATTAGTGATAGAAATCATTTATGAATTTTTCTGTTACTTAAAAACTAGTCTGACGTCATAAGGGGCAATTGAACAAGAAGCTAGTAGCGATCCTATTGCATAATTTTGAAGAAGAAAATATATCAAAATTGTCCACCAAACCCTGATACCCTGTTTCCTGTTTTTTAAACAAAAGTGACAGTAGTGACACTAGTGACAGCAGTCTATCAATTAAGAGTATTTGTGATAGTTATTATTAATTTCCTGATTGTAATGGATTCAACAAAATTTAAGTGGTGTTTTGTTCCACATTCCACATAGCCAATTGCATTATCTCCATAAGACTCCCGAACTGCACTATAATTTTCCGTAAATAAATAGGTATTTATATTTATTATTTATATTATAAATAAACACAATAAAATCATTCATTAAATATGTTAATCCTTACCTGACTGCTTTTATACCTCTGATTTCGCCAATATTAAAACGGTCGTCTCTTTTTAAAAATTCAATTAATTCATGATCACAAAAATATTAATTTTCGGTAAAATTTGCGAAGTAGCTTTCACAAATCCCGTTTCGCACATTCTGCTTTAATTCTAAGGGAAGGAAGATATTAAATGATTATTACTAAATAATTTTACTTAATAAAGGAATTCGAAAATTAAGGAAAAGAACTCGTAAACTTGAAAATATTTTATGCGACAATATCACTAACAGACTGACACTACTGACAGTGTTGACAGAGCATCTTCTTCCTCCAATTTTTTTCCTTTACGCAATCATCTACACATAATTTCACTACAAGATACCCCTTATGACGTCACAGCCGTTTTGAAATATTATAAAAAATTTTTTTTATAAATATTTAAAAATTTTTTTTTAAATAATTATTTTAAAACTGTTCCGACGCATTTTTCAATCTCTAATTGTGCATACACACTAATTAGTACGTATTATCTACTTTTTGAAATTTAGTCAACAACCCTATTCTCTAAAGAAGGAACTCCATATGCAAATTAGTTATTAATTAAAAAAAAATAAGTTTTTCTTAAAATAATTGCAGTTTTTTTTATAAATAATAGGTATAATAAGTATAAAAGATCATTAACTAAATTAAAAAAATACTAACAGTATAAGGAAACTATTAGTATTTTATTTTTAGGTAAAGACATAATAATAAATCTCTCTAGTATTCGTAATGTGATATTTGAAACACAATATTGCCAACTACTCAGAAGCAGAGTCCTTCATTGCTTTCCTTTGGGTACTGGGATTATTCATAATTCTCTAAAATCTCTGTACCCTGATACCTATGGTAATAGCAAGCCATTGGTCTAACTAAATTCAAAGAGTTGATTTTTCACTTTGACCCAGAATCATGCGTTTCAATTTTTTTGCAAATTGTAATAATCACGTATTTGATGTATTTATTGTTTTAGCAACATTTTTTGGATTTGTTGAGAGAATATGTCCTGTCAATCCTCTTGCTGAAATTTGGGAAATTAAAGAATGTAAAACAGATAGCGACTGCTCACCTCGAATCTGTTGTCCAGAAACTTTGAGGAGTGGAGAAAATGTGAGTTATTGCAGAACGGCACAAGCATTGTGGGATAAAATACCAGCTGCCAGGCAGATTGTAGAACGTAAGTACCTACTAGTGACTATAGGATGTTGGTCGCAAATTTTTATTGCACTTAGATTTTGTTAAGAAAAAAGATAAAGAAAAAATATTAAATAACCTACACATGATGTTCCACTATTTCGTGTGTGACAGGATGGACCAATTTTGACACATTTGGGGTTCTATTTGCCAAAAATATACCTACCAAGAAATATTGAGATTTAAACTATATCTTCATAAGACTGTTTCTTACTTTTCGCTGTTGTGTCCATTATTTAAAAAATGCGGAAATTCTAGAGAAATGTTATTATTACTTCCCTGGATTGACCGCAAAAAACGCTTTTAAAAATCAAATACCTAATTTCATAAACAAAAAAGTTGTTCAATATCACAAATAAAATGTAAGACGTATTTCTTAAATGAACCAAGATTTGGATATGTGATTTTGGCCTTCAATTGAACATTGTTAAAAAATACGATGTTTTAATTAGTTTTTGTCTATCTTCTCGAAAAATAGTAGAAACCTTGCGAAATTATCGAAATTAGTCCACCCTGAGGTATATAAATTCTTGGGTTTAAAATGCGACGATTTAACTAAATATAACTTTTTCAGTGCAAACCTCTCTAATTACTTATTGTTACACCTACATAAATAAAATATTTTATTAAATTGTAATTCAAAATGAAATACTTTGTGGATATCAGAAAATTATCCGAATGTTCTTTAGTAAAAAGTATTGGAAACCATCACCATCTTCAGTAAAGAAAATAAAGATATAAACAGTTATAAGAAAGGAAATATTTGAATGTTTTCTGGCACCATGGATTGAACAACATGGACTACATCAGTAGATTACACCCAGTCGTCAGCTTCAACATGTAGATGGATGAGAATGTTTTCAGACGTCCTTGTTGAAAGAAAACTAGGTTGCACCCAAGGGAATGATCTGAACGCTGATCACCATCAGATCACCACCAAACTCAGACACAAGTTATTGTCAACATCAGTACACCAAGCACGTGACATCTGCTAGCCAGAACACTCATACGAGGAACTATAGCGCTTACGATCTGCTCTTGAAGGAACTACTCTACGAGGTATAGAACCAATCATCAGAAAAGTTTGTTGTTGATCAAACAAGAAGACACATTACTTCAAGACAAAAGGAGCACAAGAATAACAATGGAGAAAAATCAGCATCAGTTTCGGAACAAGGGGCAAACTAATACCGGAATTTTTGGCGAGGAAGGATTTAGGTAATTCTTTGGAGAGGCAAGAAAAATCCAAAACAATCGAGATAATTTGGAAACGACAAAAATCTCGAAAACTCGAACTTCATAGCCAGTTTTGAAACGTCAAGAAGTTCAAACTGGCAACGTGGCAATCAGCCCAGAAATTACAACAATTTTTTTTTTAGTCTTTGTTTTTGTCATAAGACAAGATATAAAACTTTAAGATCACGTACAAAAAAGTATGAGTTGAGAAGTCGAAATATTTTTTACATTTCTGTACATTTAAATAATTCAATTACAGAGCCAAAAAGTAACATACCCAAGTAATAAGTATACTAAATCTGACGAAGCGTTCGAAAGTTGTTTGAAATAACAAAACAATTTTGTTGACACCATCTAGCGTCTGAACAAAGCAACTTTGAAAAGAGGACGATTTAGTTAAATCTTCTTAATTTGATCCCAATAATCCATAATAGCTTCATATAGATGAAATAATGTAACACCCTGTAAAGTCAAATAATAACTTAACATTTTGAAAATCCCTAAATTATAATATAAGAGTTTTAATATTTATTTACATACCTATTTATCATTCATTTATTTTCAGCCATAAATAATCTAGTCAGCTATATGCAATGCACTCCTCCCCCACCACCACTTCTCGATATATTTCCAAAAGCATGCCAAAACCCACTAGACTGTTTTCCCAATTTGTGTTGTCAGGAAGGTGGAAAAAAATATTGTAGACCACCCAGGCGATCACTTTTTGCTTTAATTGCTGGAGTAGGACAGGTAAATACATGGGAATGATATATCATAAGTCAAAAAAATACATATATATTTTTGTTTGTTTTTTTTTCAGAGATTAGTACCTGCCCATGCAGCTAGGAGATTTATTGAAAGGATTACAAGTTAAAAATTTTTATGTAATATATATTCCTTTTAATGTAAATTGTATCTACTGTAAATTTGTGTAATATACATGAAAATATATATATATATATTTTACCAATAATACGAACTCATTTTATTATCTTTGTCCAAATGTAAATATTTACCTATTCCTTGAAAACTATGTTAACAAAATGAATGACAGAAGTGTGGTCTTGTCAATTTAATTTTTCGCAATTATGTATAGGTGAACTTTTTCAGATCAATGTTTATAAGAATTATGTTTCATTTTTTTTGTAAATTCAACATGTTCTAAAAATCATTTTGAAATTTTAAGGACAACAGAAATTAAAACGAGAAATATATTAAATCGCGGATGTGAAGGGAGGGCATAGTTTAAAAATTTTATGTAAAGGAAAATAGAAATTAGGCAACATTAACAGTTATAATGTAACAAGTACGTAAAATAAATCTTTGACGGATGATTCTGTATGTTTACGTAACTGGTATAGTTGTTACGATGTCAATTGGAACCTGTGAATCCACAGGACCGTATGCACTTCTGAAATTTCTTTCTATGCTTTGACCATGATATGTCTCGTAATTTATACTCGAATGGCAATTCGGTGAGTCCGGTATTGGTAAACTAGTCCGCCTGATGTACAATTGACGGTGGCGCGCTGGTCATCAAAGCAAACCTGTATTGGTTCACTAGGTCGTAAATAATTTTTTTGTATGGTACACGGGTTCGCTTAGCTTTGCCACTTTGCCAGTGCAATGCAGAGCATTGCTTGGCGGAGTATGTTGTTGGTATAATACGTATTATTATTTATTAGTTGATATTATTATGTGTTCATATCGTAACCAGTAAAGGGCAATAGTTATCAAAATAAATGTTATATGTCATTATCTAGTAATTTAGCGTGGCTCTCTGGAGACTCTTTGAAGCGAAGGATATTTAAATAACTCGGGAAAATCCCAAAATAGTAGAACCGGTTTTTGTTGAAAGCATCGAAACAAATTCAGAGCTTAAAAACAAAGGTTTACATGTACAAAGTCAACGTATTATATTAAATAATATATGAATCTTTGAAAATTGAAAATAGTGAACAATGTGATAAAAAAGTTAGGAAACGGATTAACGAATTAACTAAGATATTAAAAACGACAATTTATCGCGTAATTAAAGAAGGATTGATCACGGTACAAAGAGGAAACGGAAAAATACAAAATTAAAGAAAATTAACGATTTTACCAGATGTACTGCGGCGCACAATTTATAGTTATAGCAAATAGTTATTTTCAGTAGGTACATGTTCCTAAAAATGAGCGTTTTGAAAATTAAGCATTATTTATAAGATAATGATGGAAAGTCTTTATCTACCATATTATTTAATATTAATTTATTCCCTTTGAAGAAACAAAATAGTAACACACAATTAATTAAAAAAATAATTATCCAAAACCACACACATATTGGAAAGAACCCTTAGCGATGGAGTTCCATATTTACACACGACAATTATTACAATTTAGACTGTAATTTCCTACATAAATCAGATTAAAATTTAGAGACACTGTCATGTCTTATTTATTAATTTATACCTTATTTTATGAGAAAACGCAAAGACGCCGGACGCCACACGTGTATGTCGACCATAAATAAGGGATTTCTATTCATGCACGAAAAAATATAAGTGACGTTCAGGTCAATGCCAATAAAATAACTTTTTTACAGCTTGCGTTGACCTCCAAATCTATATTATCTTACGAGATAAGGAGATAATAATTTATATTTTATTTGTGATTGTACGGTTGTAGTATAAATTTAGAATTAAAGCAAAACATACAATTTTGTTTGTAGGTTGAAGTTTGTATTACGAATATATTTTGCGATACCTAATTATAAATCATTTGACTAAATTTCAATATGTATGTAAAAGGGTGATTCCGAATTATGTGCAAAAAATTTGAGGGTCAATTCCAATTTAAACACTTTTAATAGGGGTCCATCATACAAGGTGTCCCGAAGTTCATGCAACAAAATAAAATTGGTCATAGATTCTTAAGATAAATTTAGGGGACCTGTATTTTTTATTTTTGCCAACTGGTCCCTCCAACCAGAAATGAACTAAGACGCTTTGTCATCAATAAAGCCAACTGGCGAACGTTCGTTATATATATTTCTATTGTTTAAATTAAAATAATAAATTAAATTATAATAATAATGAATAGGGCATTTTATTTTGATATTTGTAATCGGATCAAAGGCTTGTTTACGCTAGGAGAGCTCGAGATCGAGATAGACTGTGAATAATAGATGTAATGTTTTTAGGAGGTAGAATAATTTAGGCGATGGTCGGAATTATGTTTCTGCGCATATGAAGGTCAAAGCTCATAAGATTTTGATACAACTCTACAGCTCCCTGAAATCCGCCCCTATGAAGTTTTTGTTATATCTCAAAACCATGTTGTACGAGAATCACTAAATTTGGTACACAGGGGTTTTATGAGATGTGGAATCTCACAGTGCTACGCTTTTTGGCGAGAAACCCCCTTAAGACACTTTTTCATGGACCCCCTTGTCTTTGAAACCAGAAAAATTTGGTCGCAAATTTGATTTTTTAAAAATTATTAGTTAGAAAGCCATTGAATTTAGAAACTTTTTGTCTCTTGATAATTGTTTCGTAAAACGCAATGTTTTTGAGGAAAATGGCGAATCACGATATGCATTCGATCACATTTTGACATTTTTCTCGAAAACATTGCGTTTTACGAAAAAAGTATAAAGAGACAAAAAGTTTCTAAATTTAATGGCTTTCTAGTGGACTGATAATTTTTAAGAAATTTAAATATGCGACCAAATTTTTTTGGCTCCAAAGACAAGGGGGCCGACGAAAAGTTGTCTTAAGAAGGTTCCCCGCCAAAAAAACGTAGCATCATCAGATTCCTCATGTCAAAACTCCTGTGTACCAAATTTAGTGATTTTCGTACAACAGGGTTGTGAGATATAAAAAAAGATTATTCTTATAGGGGCGGATTTCAGGAGGATGTAACTCCGAAAGAGGGGGCCACTTGGCAAAAATAAATATACGAGTCCCATAAATTTGTCTTAAGAATCTGTGACCAAATTTTGTTGCATGAATTTCGGGACACCCTGTTTAAAATTTTTTTATTTTAGGCCCTAGAGGAGTTACGACCCCTTAAAAGGAAATATGTAAAGTTTTATTTATTTATTTCCAAACGAAATTTAGAAATTGAAATTTGTCGTGATGTTTAGGCTGATAAAGCTTTTTCTAGACGAGTATTTTTTATTGTCCTCGTCCAATTATAAGACGTTGAAAAAACTTTTTTTTGTACGCATATTAAATTTAGGAATGTTCTTGCCTTTTTGAATTGTTTATCATCAAGTAGAAAATGATTAGAAGCTACTAGATGTGCAAAATCAAATACTGAAAAGAAGATTTATATGCGTGTATGATCTTGAACTTATTTTTTTTACTCAAAACCTGTAATACTTATTAAAAAATTCATCGTGACCATTCAGTGCATTCATAGTAGGGACACAAGAATAAAATTTCTTCTTGTGGTAAGGATGTGCTCATGCATGTTAGGTACTTAGGAAGGTTTAGTACCAGGTACTTATACTTTGAAAGTATATAGGATACTATATCCAACAAAAAGTATCCCAATGACTAACTTTATAATCTTTTAATTTTATTTTTACCATTAGATTACAACAGGAAACCTATTTGAAAATGTGTACCTATTTTCTATGTTAAATATCATATTTTATTTATCTAAAAGACTAAAACCTGACTAAAACTGATCAGGCGATTAGACTGTACATTTACTGATTTATTTTACAAGTTAATCACATCGTCTAATCGCCTGATTAGTTAATCAAGTCTTAACCGAGACTCAAAGTACCGGGCCTAAGGGTTAAATTACCAATTGCTAAAAGGCACTTTATCCGTATTATTACTGATGTAAATTAATTTCATTTTGCACTTCAGTTTTCTTCTAATAACGAAGACTATATATACCCGGATATATTCAAAAAAGTATCCGTTATCATCGGATAGGTACTTATCGGAGATTTTGTGTCCTACAATTTCGTAGGCACGAAAAGTTGCGTTACATACTATATAAATTAGAGAGAAGTAGTATGTAGTGGTAATATGGAGAATATAGACATACAATTTATCAACAAAGTACATTAATAATTCACACAAATTCTTTACTGCAGGTAGAGAAAAGTCAAAAAGTAAAGTTTAAAATCTGTGAAAATTAGACAAGGATTATTCCGCTGTATCTGTATCTGAAATTATTGTTTTTTATCTTGATTAGTAACGTCTACCTAGGTTGAATACATTAATTTAGCTGTTGATAGCGAAAAATATAAGGATATTATTCGTCCGGTTATGTCCGTTGCCGTACTAATACCACCTTCCCTCTTGACTCTTGATGCATTTTAGTAACTTTAATGTTAGAATTTAGAATGTTACCTGCACTGTTTTGTCCCAATAAACAGCATGTTTAAAGAAGTTAACCTCAAATTTTGTTTCATATCAACTTTTGATTCATTTATAATTTGTGATACTTACCTTAATATTATGTTCTAATTTAAGTAAACAGGTTTATACTGCAATTGCTATGGATATTAGCAAATATAATTTTTATGTGGGTACGTCCAGAGGAACTTTGCTGTGTACGTATGTTTATAATAATTAAATCGATTTTGACTTCCAAGATATTTATTTTAGTTAACAGTGATAAACCAAATAATATTCAATCTGCAAAGAGTGAAGAAATTTCAGAAGTAACGAGCCTAAATTTCGGTAGAAATGAAAACGAACTGTTAATAGGTTATGACAATGGCTGCGTAAATATTTTTGATATCATAGAGAGAAAATATATTAAAACACCTGAATTGCAAGGAGAAGGGCGAGTAGTAGGAATTGGATATGTAAATAAGTCAATTGTAATAGGAAAACATGATGGTATTATTAATGTATGGAATGGTAAACGTAACAACTATTTTGATACACACTTGGATGAAAAAGGAACCCTTGACACTTTAGTGTGCAATGAGAATAGACATGGTGTTATTGGTACTGGTGGAGAGTTTAATGATCTCAAATTGTGGGATATTGAAACTCAACAGTGTATTTTTAAAGCGAAATCAGTAAGTTATTTTTTTTATTTAATTATTTTGATTCTAATAAATTCTATGAATATCTCTTTTATAAAGCAATGATTCATTGGTTCGTTTTTAATTTTTTTGTTGTGAAATGGATGTAGACGATATAAATATATGGTATTAATATTTTTGACTATTTTTTCATTAAAGTGTAAAAATATTAAATAAATATTACTTTAGCTTGGGCATGACATGTTAAATCTACCAATACCTACATCAGTTCGAGGAATTACATTTTTTCCAGAAGATAATTATTTAAGTGTATGCGCTACAAAAGAAGGCCATGTTTTATTATATGACGATAGGGCTCAAAGAAGACCTGTGGTCAAATTTCTAGAGAAAAAAGCTAGTTATACTACTATTGCTTGTGCTTATAGAGAAAGGTATAGTTGAAATTTTATATTGAATTTTTCAGTTCAATAGTTATTTATTTTTTTATATAAATCATAACCAGTGCTCGTTGATTTTTAGACAATGTTTAGCTGGAACAACCAGAGGCTACATGCAGGTGATGGACATGAAAGCTGGAAAATGTTTGAGAACATTTACAAATTTTACTGGTAGTATAACCAGTATTGTTTGTGACCCTTTGGAGCCGTATGTAATTACTACTTGTTTAGATAGGCATTTAAGAATACATAATTTGGAAACTAAGGAGTTGTTACATAAGGTAAGTTAATTAAAAACAGATTTACAGTTGGCAGTTATAATTGTGTACAATATAAACTGCAATTTTTACGAAACTCATTCATAGTGACAATTTTTCTATCAATTGTTGCAATTTTTATGGTATTACAGGAGTTATTTTCCTGACACTAATTGCAAAAATATGTAATCTTGTACAAAGCGAACATAACATGATATAAGTTATTTATTTTATTTATTCTTTACACAGAAAAAAAAAAAATTTTCATTTAGGTATTCCGAAAAATTTACGTAACTTTTTTTATCTTCACTTTTATGAAATGAGCATTTCCTTAGTGGTTTAACCACAGTTTTACCCATCATCTTGTACTCCTAAGCTCATGAGCAACATGCTATTAAAATGCTAAGATATGCACCAATTCACTGTTTTTTATCAGGAGGATACATACCAAAATTAGTTTAACACCAAGTTAATGACGTTATTGTTACCAGTTGAAGGATTACTACTTTAGTAGATAGTAGATTAGTACTTGCAAGATAAATTTCCGACTATACTTAAAATGATTTGGCAATTGCCGACAATTTATAATTCTTTTTTACAAATATAGTAACTGCTTTAAAAATAAATGTATTGTCTACGCCTCTGTTTCCTACTGGATTTTTGTTGTACGATTCTTTCGAAGCCATGACTAGTGAGACTCCTAGAAAGATGTAGAACTTTGTGTTGCTTTTTTTGTCAAAAAATCACAGAAACTTTCGAAAATGGTTTGATACCAAAGTAATAATCTGATTTATGGTTTTACCGTGGCCCGAGAGTCAGTAGTCGATTCGTATTTATGTGTCTGTCACTATCTTCTCTTAACTGACGACTGATAACAATGATGTCGCCTTTTTTTCCCTGCATAGAGCGATTTGTGCTTATTTTACATTCATTTTAATTGAAAATCTCTGGTTCGGTGACAGTATTATATTTGCGAGCGTTCAAGAAAATGAAATTGTAATACAGTAGAATCTCTATAATCCGGCACTTCACTACACCGGCACGTCCAGTAATACGGCGTTATTTTTTCCGCGTTTGTTGACTATCCTTGAAGAATACAGTTTATACAGTTATAGTTTAGTTGAAAGATTATTTTACAGAAACATAAACACATTACAATATACATATATATGCATACACAATTGTAATATGTATGTATCTATGTACCAATCTCTTTGTTAATAAACAATTAAATGTAACGTTTTTTAATTTAATACTGTTTACATATAAATTTTCCATTATTCCGAATTTTCCAGTACTCCGGCACTCTTAGGTTTTTAATGGTGCCGGATTAGTGAGATTGTACTGTATAGCATTTTGCTATGAAAAAAAATTACATGTTTTTTGGTAACTAAGAAAAAAGCTTTTTAGGCGTATGTTAACAAAATGTAACTTTTTTTTAAATAATTAAAACATTTGTAATTTATGTAGCTGCTAACAAGAATGATTTTATCTAAGTAAATCTATTTGAAATTTTTACACAAGTTGATATTAAAATACAAATGTAAATCCAAGATTTGTCTTCTTTTTTACTGAAATAATATGATTAATTCATTTTAAAGAATAAATATTTAATATAGTTTTCTTAATAAAGATTTAATATATTGATTTATTTAAAAGAATAAGAGCATTTTTTTTATTGTATTACAAAAATTATATCATGGGAAAAATCAAGAACAGAGAGAAGTTTAGTATGAAGTTGTATTTAATTATGTTCTTAACAATTTAAAATATTTTTTTAGGTATATATGAAGCAAAATTTAACAAAGGTCCTAGTAAAATCAATAGTTAAAGATGAGCCAGTAGAAGACACAAGCGAGAAAGAAAAAGTTGATGAAGAATACGAAGAAATCTTTGAAAATATGGAAACTGTTGTTAGTTCAAAAAAATTAAAGAAACAGAAGCGGCATGATGAGGATGTTACTGATAAACCAAGAAGAAAAAAGAAGAAGAAGCTTAAACAAGCCGAAGGTTAATTTAGTATTAACAAATTGTAATTTTTTTTTAAATTCGTTAATTACATATAATTTTAAATAAGTAAAATTTATGTTTATTTATTAAGACAGTAAAAAATAGTATTAAGACCATTATTTGCAATTGAATATAATGGACTGTGTAACGAGTTAATCATTAACTAAAAAACAAGACAATATCGAATGATGGTAGACGGATTTATCCTTTTTATTATTCTAGGTGCCACGGTGAGCAAACGAGCTTACAAATCTCTTCATGGATACTTTTCGAATATGTTTCTCACGACAGGACCTTATGTGATGTCACACAAGATTTTTTATACAAATTTAAAAAAAGTAGAGAAGTAAAATACTGAGAAGTGAAAATACTGAACAGTTAAATTGAATATAAATTAATCACGTAACATTTAAATATTATAGAGTGATATATTTCTTAGAATATTTTAATGATTTATCTTACAATCAGATGAAGCGAGGTAGAGAAAAATTTGTCAACGTTTTATTTCAGAAAGAGTGCATTTTGCATGTTTTCTATATCTAGTTCCATGTACAATTGATCATTATTAATAGAAGTACAATACAGTAGCATAAGCAGGGGAGCAAGCAGCTAACCTTTTGACATTTTCATGTAATATAAATTATAAGTTTTGAATAAAACTAACCTTGTGAAGTACAAAGCCTTCATATTAAATGATTACAAGCCACATAGTACCAATCTCTATCAGTACTGGAATGGCCTACATTGAGTATCAGGGGTGGAGCATCAGAATTTGATACGAGTTTTGGGTTGATTGGGGATGTTGGCTGGCAGAATTTGTTGGTCTGTCAGAATGAGGCTGGTAGGCGACTGGCGCCAATATTCATTTTTGAAACTTTTTGGCTTCTTTGATAGTCTCCGAAATGGTCTGTACGTGTACTGAACCGTATTATGCACTTCAGATAGTCCATCAGGATCATCGATGATACATGGAATGGTGGATTGAGATGGACACATACATATCTCTTCCATGTCAGGAAGATGGCTGCTAACTTATGGATGGATTGATTTAAGTCACATTCCAGGTTCCGAGCTGATTTCAAATTTTTGCTCATTCAGAACCATAAAGCCCTCTCCAACCATGCTAGACATGCCAATCCCAGTCAAAGTAGAAACCCAAGTCCAAGGAGATCGAAACTACCTTCCTTAAGAAGTAGAGGTCACAGCGCAGAAATTAAAGTTTTCAAGTAATTTTAAATTTTCTCCGAAAGTCACTAAGAAGCTTCTAGTCGCCTCAAACACCGAAGCTGAAGTAGATGATACTGCCAGAAGCCGATGCTGTTGATAGAGCAGCCGTATTTACGAATTGGAACCGAGGAACTATGAAATTAATCAAAAGTACTATGCGTTCATAAGGCAATCATCGGTTGTATTTGATAATATTCCAAAGATGTGTAAAATCCAGAGAGGCTAATGACCTAAGGCGAACTCGCTACAGGATCTCTACAGATCCACGTAGGACCCTGATCGAATTTCAACATAATGTCCAGTTCAATAATAACAGTACATTTGTACATTCCAAATCTTTATTTTGCTTTACAGAAGTATTTATGCTCATATTTATTGTTAATTAAATATAAAAATTTCAATAAATAACATAATGTTATAAAAAAGGAAATTTGAGTTAAATTTCTCTAGAAAAATTAAAACAAGCTCAAAGTTCCCATTCAGTGTCGAATCCACAAAGTCTGAAAAACATGTACCCACTCTAAATGCAGACGCCTTAATTGTAAGAATGGCTGATGCCATGATTGCTGCTCTGTTAGCATTGAGATGGTTAGCAAACGAGATGGAGAGGTGCAGGCAGACACCTTCTATACAAGAGTCCAGACTAAGAGGACCCAGAGTGGTTTCTAGATTTGGAATATGGATTGACATTTTTCAGCAACAGCTTATAGTGCTCAGACATGGCACTGATTTGATGATAACATCTATGTGGTGAATAGCTACCGTGAGTTAGAGAACATGTTCCTGGATGGGTATAATTCTTCAGAGCAGATTGCACATCAAGTTATAAGGGTCTTCAGCCAGTAGTTCTAGTCATCATGTGGAATAAGGTGATTGTGCAATTGTGTTATTCCGCAAATTCCGTTCCGCATCACCTATGCCATCCTCTTATGAATATACTTGTTTATACAAAGTTAGAGTCCAAACTAGGAGCTTGACTCTATATCAGTAACCTCACTTTCTACAAAGACCTATTCCAAATTACAGGCAAAATTGAAACAGGCCTGAGGGATGTCCGAAGGTATGACATGCGAGACGGGTACCAGAAAAGACCTGATGCCTCAGCTTGTGCTACAATCCTATTCAGCACTCAGGATTCCACAGCATCCACCAGCACAACAGAGGCTAATCAATTCCACCATCAAACCTCACTGCCATGGTGAAAATTAAGGCCCAACCACAGTGACCAAGATATTCCTACAAATTATGTCTGCAAATACACTTCCCCTCCCAGTGCTTGTAGAATCAGTGTAAGTGGAAAAAGGGATTAGGAGCCATCAAATCAAAACTACAGGACCCATCGACGGTTCTATCTCCAGAATCACTCAAACTGTAAGTAAAAAACAGAAAAATGCTCATGGTTAAATTTAATAGAGCAAAAAGGGGCAAACTAAACCAAAATAACCCAAGGAAGAACAAATATAAAATAAGAGACGTGAGGCAAAAAGCTGCTCTCATCAATAGTCTCAATAAATCTGTAGTCAACTACGGTGAAGTAGAATGAAGTAGAACCATTTCAAAGGACAACTTGTTCTTGGACTTCTAGGAAAGTGCTATTACGAATCCATGCCAGAGGTGCCCTATTTCCACGACAAGAATGACCCATAATTTATTACAGATCACAGTTCAGCTACATGACGAACATTTCAAGACCTTAATCGATTCTAGGGTGACATGAAATTTCATCTGAACCAATAATTTGTCTTTCCATGACAAGCAAGCATATTCCTATATTCTGGCTTATGGGGAGCAAGCCGTCAAATCTCATGATATTGTCCAGGCCATATTCTACACCAGTGATCGAGAGTTCAAAATGCTATTTCACATCATTCCAAAGTTGAATGAAGAAATTATTCTAGGCGCCCAGTTCCTGGCCCAAGAGGATGTTCTGTTCGACTACCAGCGTCGTTGCATATATGCAACCAAAACAAATTGAATAACCATATATTGGGTTCCACAACTCGAATCACAGTTAATCAACATTGCAGTCTCCTTTGCTGATAAAGACGTCCATGATGAGCCTAGGAGAATGCCCTTATCTATGTTTTTGAAAGTATATTACTCTTAAGTGGAGTACTGTCGCATCAAGGAAAACGAGAACCACTTGTGAACTTTCTGTGCCATAACGCAACAGTACCCTATTCAAATGATATGGTCAACGAATCTAGTATGTTGCCGCCTGTATGAGTCCAGACAAACCACCCGATGGCTTCCCATGATTTGTACAAGTAGAGTTGATAGAGTTGTTGTTGAAATCTTATGAGCTTTGACCTTGATGATATGCGCAGAAACATAATTCCGACTGTCGCCTAAATTATTCTACGTCTAAAAACATTACATCCTTTATTTACAGTCTATCTCAAGCCCTCGTAGCGTAAACAAGCCTTTGCTCCGATTACAAATATCATAATAAAATTCTTTATTATTTTAATTTAAGCAATAAAAATATATATAACGAACGTTCGCCAGTTGACTTTATTGATGCCCGAGCGCCTTAGTTAATTTCTGGTTGTAATGAGGCACGTGGTCTAATTCTGAGTCAATGTTTTCACAACGTGCTTATTAGAAGAATTATGTGGATACGCCACGTCTTTCGCGCATTTCGCGGCTCATGACATTTTGAAACTACTCTACAAGCCCAACAGAGATCACTTCGTATTCGACGAGACATTCTAAGATGGTAGGCCATCAACATAATTGAACCCCAAAACAACAAGGAGACATTTCACGCCACTTACAGGATACCAATAATAATACCAAGATGGAAGATACGGAAGGTCATCCCTACTTCAGAGTTTGCATCATATGGGCCACCTATGACGACAAATCTCAGACTACGTACAGTAGTGCCATGCTGTAAAAATCTGCCGAATCCAGTGGGATGCTCCGCAGAACCATATACTGCCTGCACCACTTTTGAAGTCAACAATATCACTCCAAGCAAGCATCAACATGGATGTTTGCGCCTTTACCAACAAGCAGGAGACAAGAGTCCCAGCACCACAGGCAATATATTGGGGGTAATTCTAGAGGAAAAGATGGTGAAACTCATCTTTCAACACGACAAACAGATTTTTCATGACCAGTGTGAGTTTGGTATTTGGTCCTTCTCAAAAGCTTTCGTTAATAAATGTCGCCTCCTCTCCGATAAATTCGGTTATTGCGTAATTTTCTAATAGTGCACTAAACTCAACGCAACTAGGCGCTGATTGGAGTTTTGTGATGGTCGATCTCTGTCCATCTCGGCCCACTTTAGTTTGCTTTTAAGAAGGTGTAGTCTGGACCTGGTGTTGTAAAGAAATAGGATACTCTTTTCTCAATTATAGGTAATTTATATTACACCCTTTCGATGGTACTTTGTTTGGAGACTTCCAACAAAGCCTTTTTTTAATCGGGCAAACTAACTAGTAAATATCTTCAGCTAAGTCTTTTTGATTATTTAATACATTTTAATGTGATGTGTTTTAATGGACAAATTTCAATAAAATAAAACCAAATCAATTAGATTGCATATCGAGGGCGTCGTATCAGAAGGGCGTAAGAGCCACTATAGTCGGTTTTAAGTTTTTAGGGTGTATGACCTCATTTAATCAATTCGCTTAATAGCTTAATATATCAGAAGAGTGTATATATTCATAAACATCAACCCTCTATTCTAACGCAGTTTACTTAGGCGTATGAACAAATTTTGCAACACTATAATATCAGAAAGGCGTATGACTGTAAAATTTCAGATTTGGTTTGTACGCCCTTCTGATATGACGCCCTCGATATGTACAGGGTCATACACTATATTTTGACCCCCCCTTTAACTTTTTTGTTTTGAGAGTTATAAAAAAATGTGATATATAAAAGTTGCACGAGTTTTTGTGAATTTTTCGGAAATGATAATAGAAAAACAAATGAAATCCAAATAAAATGGCCGCGGATGTTAACTGTGTTAAGTTAAATGAAACACCTTGTATGTTTTTACATATTTGGATAGAACATTCCCTGTCGAGCACAGTCATGTAGGGTTTGTTGGGTCCATCGTTAACAATAGGCGAGATACTATTAAAAAAGGAAAAGAAGGTTTTTTATTAAGAAAATAAGACATCTTGGAATTGTTAAACCTTTTTCAGGCATTTCTGCCTTTTTCCAATTACGTAAGGATTTACAGATTTAGTTATAATATATTTTGACAGATCAGACATTGATATGGTCCAAAATGCGTATAGGTATTTTAACTAAATATCACTAATTAGGCTGTGAGATGCCTAATTACTCATGGACAATGTTACATGGTAGGCCGTGATAGTGACAGGTAATGTCATGACAACATTGTTATTATTTGACAGTTTGTATTATTATTTAATTAAAATAACTTAACAAAGTTAACATCTGCGGCCATTTTGTTTGGACTTCATTTGTTTTTCCATTATCATTTTCGAAAAATTCATAAAAACTCGTGCAACTTTTATATTTCACATTTTTTTATCTCTTAACACAAAAAAGTTAAAGCGGGGGTCAAAATATAATGAATCACCCTGTACATGTAATAAAATGTTTTGATTACTTCTTTGTTGAAAATAAAAACACATTTCTTTAATTACATTTATTAAAAACCAAATTATTTACAATATACAAAATTAAAAACAAGAGTTATATTAATATTAATAAATATTATTGTACAATAGCTACAGTCTACACATATTGTAGATACAAAAAGTTTGACATTAGGAAACCTAATTTGTACAAAATGCTATTAAACACTAGTTATTTACCACATGATTTTTAGATCAGCATAAGATATAATTTTAACGTAGCAGTGTATTGCTTAAAAGTTTGTTGCTCTCAATTTTTAAAATATCACACATCAGCAACGCACAGTAGTAATGGTGTCACTTTGATTGAAGAGGTAGTAAAACCTCTTTTTATTTAAATGCTGTCTGCAATTGTGAACTTGGTATCGTCTTTATTCTTACTTTGGTGGACTTCCGAACCAAATTTCACTCAGTTCATGACAAAAAGTTGAAAATTTCCAAGCTAAGTCAAATGGTTGAAATGTTGGATTATAAAAATGACATGATGGGTTTACTGTGCGACAATGGCAAAAAAAATTATATTTTTTAGGATTTACAGAAAGGGCTGTTGCCACTATGCATTGTTAATGTGGGAATAATAATAATAATAAAAATACATAAAAAAACACAGCAACACACTACAGAGAAAATTAGTCCTAACAGTACATTATTTCAAGGCAAATTATTAATCTTATAGTCGAAAATACATACCCTGAATATATTGCATTACATTTACTTATTTTTTGGCAAACTGTTTATAAATTGGAAGGCAACAAGTTATCTTTAAAATAAAATCAAGATATGACACAATTTTTGTCTTTTTCATCAATCATCCCTTTTTTGCTGGGTGATTTCTGTATGGTAGCTTGTCTTCTTCTGGCAATGGCAAGAGCATCATTAGGAACATAAGAAATTCTTACTCCACCATACGCCCTCCTTGGAGGTAACTGGTAATCCAAATCGTCACTAGATGAACTAGATGAACATGTAGAACAGTAACTCTCTTCATCATCTTCCTTTTCTCTACTGTGTTTAGTACGCGCTTCTGTAACATGTGATTCAGAAGGTGTCTTAACAGGTTTATTTCGCCTTTCTAAAGTATCTATGTGTCTTGACCGTCCTGAATAGCTTCTACTTCTCGGAAACCTTTTTGCTGCTTCTATACTAGCATTATCTCCTTCATCCGCTTCGAAAGCTTCATTATCACCTTGAAATCTCACACTTAACAGCCCTCGTCCTCTTTTACTGGGCGATCCAGGTGTTGTCGAGTTTCCAGTGCTTTCACTCGAACCAGGTATGGCTAATTCAGGCATAGACGAAGCATGTTGTGGTTGTTCCAAACTAGATTTATTATTATTGTCTTTTGCTTCAGTACTATTGTTTGGTTTAGTTTCATTGTCTTGTTTGTATTCTGAAGGGTTTTTTGCAGGCCAGTCGTCCAAGCTTAGATCGGCTAAATGTAATGGTTCCCGACTTCTATCTCGCGCAAGTAAAAGCTTTTCTAAGTCTGGCGAATGACCTTGGCCACTTCTTTCTGTTAATAGTCGCTCTAAATTTCTTTCTAGCAATACTCTGTCTAGTCCTCGACAACTAGGTGAAGCAGCCGGCATAGTTCTAGCTGTTATTTCTTCATTTGAAGGTTCATTTTGGAAGTTTGTGCCATTGTCAGATAGTGTTGGAGTGCTAGGTATTGACGTCGGTTTTGGCGACCTCTGTAACGCTCTTCTTCCCATTTTAGGTGACCTCATAGTTGTAGGAGACCTGGTTACATACTGGCTGGCATGAACTACACCAGGTGGTGAAGAAGGGGAAGACATTGTGGGAGATCGAGGTGGGATCTGTCGTCTGAGAGAAGGCGATGCAGGAGGAGTACTTGACTCGTTGGGGGATGGCATACGGGGTGGTCTGTTCCTGGGTTGTTGCCGAGGAACCCTTGTATTTGGTCCAGAACTGTCACTTGGTGTAGGCGGTTCTCCTTTGCTGCAAGCAATTGAGCAATAAATTGCACCCCTTCTAGGCAAAAACGGCCTGCCCAGTAGTGATGTATGGCAAGTATGGCAGCAGAAACAGTTCTCGGTGGCATGCCAGTGTTGACCCTCGTGTGACATCTGACCTTGATCTACTCCAATTGGTTCACCACAGGAATCACAGTATTCAGCAAACATGGCATCAAAACAGTGAAGGCAATATGGCCGGCCCTCGCGCATTATATATCGTTGACCCCCGAGTTGTCTCTCGCATTCAGAACAAGCAAAGTGCTTCATATGCCACGCCCGACCTTCGGCTTCTGTACACTCATCAGCAAGGATGATCTGGAATAGAAAATATTATTTACTTCAATTGACACACTACATGCATGTAAATAAAATTTATGTTTTGTAAAAATGTAAATGAAATGTTAATACTCTGCAGTACCAGGATCTGCAAAAGTACCAGTCTAAAAATTTAGTTTATTATTTGTTTGGATTTAAAAGTTGGTGTTTATTATAAAATTAAAAGATATAAATCCAAAATGTCAACAACTGAAATATTTTTGATATTCTTTATTATTGTTATTTATGATTTATATATTACCATTAGATGTGATGATATTACCTCGTCACATGCAGAGCATCTTGGTTTAATTGTTTCTGCATGATGCCTACCACAGTAGAGGCGACCTTCTTTGTAGAAGTAGATGAGATCCACTAGCAATTCTCTGCAAACGCTACACGTGAAGCAGGCAGGATGCCAGCAGGTGTTTGGTCCAGCTCTCGATGCAAAAACACAAATGTCCCCCGTAGACATTGTCTCTTCACACTGAAAATATAAAGAAAAACCTGTTGAATTACAGACTATACTTCTTAAATTTTTATTTAAACTACTGAAATGTAATAAAAGGGCTAATTCCCCTTGACAAACTAAATTAAAAGAACAAGATTAACAACTTTTTCAAAAATGATTTGTACAATTCATATAAATTTGATATGAAAATAGTTTTTAATTGATTTTGCAAGAATGACTGAAGATATAGACTTGGTACAGGGCAGTTCTTTCAAATGTAGCTATCTACATGTAATTAACCAACAGCGTCGGAGTTAAAGGAGGCCTGAGGAGTCTCAACTGCCAAAAAGAAGGACAATCAACATAACAGAGAATTTTCTTTGAGATTTGAATAATTATTCCAAGTAATTGGATTTTTTCATTTGTTCTCTATCTTCAGTGGTTCTTGAGTGATTGATCCAATATTTTGTTTCATGTCCAATCTTTAAAGAATCCTAAAGCCCTCGGAAATAATTTTAGGAAAAATCGTTACTCTTGTTTTTTTGTTTGAACAAGAGGAATCACGTCACTGTATACCCTGTGAAACAGTGTGAAACATACTGAATTTAAATGTTTATATTTTTATAATCCTATGACAATTAGTATTCAAAATAAAATTCAAAACAAAATTATATGTGTCGTACTTAAAACAGTTATAATTATTACATGTGTATGTGAATAATTTATGTCCGTAATCTCCAAATTTGAGTGATTTAGACGCATTACATGCAAAATGGATGTCTTTGCTCCTTCGCACCCTCAAATAAAACCTGTAAATCGCAAAAAATTGAAATATGTAGAATACCTATGTCACAGTTAGATATAATCAGATTGTGTAATAATGACTCTGAGAGCATTGATTGAGTAAATTTTTGGTGGGAGGTATTTGAATTTGGCGATGCGTTGTCACTGGAAAAAGCACTTTTCGCGACATGAAAATTTTTTTTCAGAATAAACAACGTGTCTCTTCTTCCTTAAACTTTAGTTGGTAGTAGTGATGGTAATGGTGGTAGTAGGAGTAGAGGTGGTAGATGTATTCGAGGTGATACGAGGGATAGTGGTGCTGCTAGTGGTAGTAGGAGTAGTGGTGGTAATCGAAGGCTTGCCCTAAAATTTTAGCTAAAAATAGATTTTAGAAATTAATTTACAAGGTTTGAATGACAACTTCCTTCCTTCTAGACAAAACAAATTTAGGTAAACATTTTCACAAATTACTAAAGTTCACGAAAATTTCCAGGCAAAACGACGATGAAAATATAAAAATATCCAAAATCCCGATAAACGTGTGAAATGCATGTATAGACCACTTCCTAAAAATACTTATGATGTCAGTATTTACGATTAATAATTACTGTTTAATTACTGTTAGTTACCAATTTTGGTAAACTGAATTCAGAGTTCAAGCCGAATGTTTACATTACAAACAAGAATTTGAATGGCATCAATCTCGCCATGATGCACAGTGCCGCGCTATTTTGTTGTCGAGTTGCTAAGTTTATACTAAAAATTAATTTATTATTTTGTTTTAAAATAATAATTTCTACCCGATCGAGGAAAGCAAGCAGCCTTTGCGCAGATAAATTGCAGTATTTGTTTCCTCTATGTAGTGGCAATTTAGTACTTATACTCGGCGGCCGAAATTATAAAGAGTGACCAATACATAATATAAAAACACTATTACCATAATGCGTATAAAATATAAAATGATTTCTATGCGGTTCAATATTATTTATCTTTGTGCCGCTCGCCATGCACATCGGTAGGATCTATAATCGTGTATAGACTGAGTTACACTGAACGTCGATCTATATTTTATCTCTGTCTTGCACTTGGTAGGGAATAGGGAAATGCTTTTTTAGTGGGTGTAAACGGACTTGATTTAACCCGTCCTGAGACACGTCATAGCATAAGCGTAGACGAGGGGTCTAATTCCATGGCTATAATAAATTTATAAATTAAAAAAACACAACTGGGACGTTTTAAAATGCTGCTGTAATAATTAAAATGGATCAAAGTGCCTGTTATAGCAAACCGTAAAAAATATTAGATGTTATGTTTCATTATGTTTTTTCAATATTTTCTTCATCCCCCTTACTAGTCCAAGAGCTTTTTTTTTTTTGCCGTCGAGTTTTTTTTATAGGTCTCAAAATCTGCGCCAAGAGTCAAGAGTTCCATTTCCAGAGAATATGGATCAGGACAGTAAAAGAGATTGAATGTGACATTAGTTAAGGTGGCCATATTCCTGGCCGAGAAATAGTGAAATTTCTGGCGTTTTTAGGTACTGAAATCTTTAAAAGTAAAACTTGTAGAACAAAAGCACAAAAATAAAATCCTTGATGTTTTGTTTATTCATTGTTACTATTTAAATTTACTCAAATAAAATAATAACTAAAAAAAAGTGTTTGTAAAACTTGCGTTTGCTGTTATTCTAACCCCACATTTTAAGAATTATTTTCATGTACTTATAAATAAAAGTAAACAATTTTATATGTAGGACTAAGCAAGTAAAGGTTATAAGAATGTTTACATGTGGAATTATATATAAAAAAGTTAGTATTTTCGTAGATTTCAGTACCTAAAACCTTGATGGTTTGATCGTTTTTTGCACCTGTTTATTCGTTTTACTGCGGCGTCTTTGAGAATACTCAGGTGGCCTGACATAACATTCCTATTATTTGATAAGCTTTAAATTATTCAGTTATTAAATGTTTGAAATTATTTGTCTTTGCGGAAAACACTATTTAAAGAATATGGGACCCTTAAGGAAATGATATAAATAAAAATAATAACAAAAATAATTGATAATATATATAGGTACCTAATTATATCAACATAATCTTGAATTGTAACGTTTTAAAAATAAATACTTTTGGAAGATACCTATATTCAATTAAGAACAAATTTTGGAATCGGATTTCCTCAACTTCTCATAAATGTTACAATTGCATTTAACATTTAAACAAATGATGAGATCCAAATAGGTAGATATAAACAGATACAGTACGATTTGTAAGCTGAATCCGATAGATCGCTTTTAGAAAATGTTTAGGAGAAAATTACTTTGTTGATTTTTTTCGCCAAAATTATAAAGAATTTTAGAAATTAAAAAGGATATTTTGCAACAATAAGTAGTTTCGTCTTATAACTATCTATTAAAAAGTACAGTTTTGGAGCTATGGTATTTCTTTTGAAGAAAATTCAGATGCGCATTGCCAACACATTACCAGACTAGCACCGGAGCTCATTTTTTGTGTAAACATCAAGCAGTGACTTTCTTTTTGATCTGCGCATTTCGCGAACAAAAAGAGTTTGGTCAAGTTTTATAATACAGAGAGATCCAGAATGATTGAAGTGTTTGGAGATGGCAGCCTGTGCCTGTCTCTGTCAATACCGCAGATTTTTATATGCTAAATATGGTGTTAGAAACAGGTTGCGTTCCCCAAACGCTTCAATCATTCTGGATCTCTCGGTAGTATGTAATGAGGTTTTTAGGTGAAAATTTTGCTGACATATAACCCAGAGTAGGAGAGTGAGGCTTCGTATTTTAGTAAATTGCTTGAATATCTTTTTTTCTTTTTTTTTAGCTGACATAGCTAAAAAATTATCCGAAACTATGAAAGAAAAAATGTTCAATAAGTATAGTGTGTAACCTTTTCGTTAGTTTTAAAATTAGTACGAACTCATTTAAAAAAGGCCTTCCATCTATAAATATTTCATGCACATTTCATATTCTGCATTTTACTTGTTTTCTGAACAGAAAATACTTTCATCTTGATGTTGATTAGTACCTACTCTCAAAATACTTCTTATCAAAGAGAAAAAAAACATTGAATCCATCTATAACAAAGAATGCATACGGGATGCATTATCCTTTAATACATCAACCATAAATACAAATATGATTTCTATTAAGTCCTTGCAAAAAATACATCACCAAAATGCACGCCTCTATGATGAAATTCATGCCTCTAATAAATCTGTCGCGACCAAATGGCGCGGAGGACGAAAGGCGACGCAGGATAACTCGGAATTTACGAGACTGGCCCCGGGCGAGCGCCGGAGACAGACCGGAGATATTAGAAACAGTTCGCCGTGAATTAGTGCCATATTTATACGTTATAACCGGCTCCGTATGTCGTTTGGTGTCCCTCGGGCATTAAATTAAATACAGCGCTCAGCAGCGCCAAGGAATAATAGCAGAAAATGGCGACCCATGTTTGTTGCCTTAATGTAGAGTAGAATTGGAGGGAATATTTTGTTCTGAACAAAAAATATGTAATGTGCTTCATTCCTTTTGGAACAGCTCACAAATAAAAGTTACTTTGAGCTATATAAGATGTTAAAAATTTAAAAGCAAGCCGAAATCCAAAAAAAAAACCAGAAAATTCATATGAATGCGTCGTTTTTGAGATACAGGGTGTTACAGCTTTTGTTTCAAAGATACAGGGTGTTTTTTACTCTATTTTAAACATAATTAAACTAATTAAAAAATTTTTTCCAAAAAAAATCATATCAAATGAAGTCAATGTTCTTCGATATCAGAAATCTAGGTATGCAAATGATACAAGAACTGATGACATTGAGGGAAGCAAGTACTTTATGGGCTATACCTCAACTAGCATTGAATTCATTCGGGACGTGTCATAAATTAAAGACTTAGTGGAAAACACGGAACGCTGTATGTCAAAAACGATGGATATATTATTGACAAGATCAAGGGAACCTAACTAGGCCCTGGGTGATAATTTTAATGAGTTTTGACATGATGTCGTTATCCACAAACATGCCAATTAAAGAAGCTTTGGAAGAACTTCATCGAAGATGGACCTTCTTCTCCTTACAGAATTAGTTATGCGAACAAACTGAAGGAGTTGCTATGGGTTCACTGTTGCTCCCAGCTTTTGCAATATCTATATAGAAACATTCGAGAAGACATCTTAAGCTTAAGGAAACAAAATTAATACTGTCTACAACACTCCAACAGCCTTTCTCAAGAC